ACTTACATTTTATTTTGTTTTTTATATCTAGGAATGTATGTACTTTAAAAAAAAAAAATTATAAACTTTTGGATAATAACTTCCCAAGTATGAGTTGGATTATTTTAAAAATCATTATTAAACACCACAAAAAAATATGACTCGTCATAGATACCTAAAATGATAATTTAAAAAAAGGTAATTATATTCACATAATAATTTTTTATATCTGCACCACATTTTAATTATAAAAAAAGTTTTCAATATTTGCTCACTTTTACTATTACACGCTCCACTTTTTCTCGTGGCATTGTCAGTCTTAACTTTTAATTAATTAACATATTTTATCTCTAATCAAGATTTCTATCCAATTATTCTATTAATGTGCACTAATAGATGGGAAATATTTTGTTTAACTTTTGCATTAGTGTTTTATTTCAGTTATTAAAAAATATAAGAGATAAATATATCTGTTTGGCCCTCATAACAAACATTTTGGACGAAAATCGTCTCTATAGACAAGATGTGAAAATTAACAAAGAGTTCATGACAAAAATTTGAAAAATGAAATTGAAAACATCAGTGCAAAGATAAGAAAAGTTGAGGAATATTCATTGTAATTAAAATGTGGTGTAGTTAACAAATGGTGGCGTGTATATATTTACCCTTCAAAAAAATGCTATAACGACCATACCCAAAACTCACAATCACGCCCTAAATATTTCAGCTATTCATTGAAAGTATAAAAGCATACTATCAAAGTTGAATTGTCCAAAATTATAGACTTGACTGCTGACGTGAAAATTTCACACCATGGATAAGAGATCATATATTCTTATGAATAGTAACTTTTTTCTAATTTTAAATCATACGTTCTCTAAGAAAAGTTATTTTCATTGAAAAAATTTCTCCCAACGAAACCCGACAATCCATATTTTTAAAAGTATCTTTTTTTTACTCTTTAGTCATATATTCTTTAAAAAATTATTTTTCACCTGAAAAGTCTCTTCCCAAACAAATACACAGTAGCGTTGGAGGGCTTGGAAAGGATGCAAATTTCTTTGATTTTTCTATATTTTAATTTCATTTTTTTTTCCCTTTTGGTCCTTTTTATTAAGGTCATGTTTGGCCTCACCTTTTAAAACTCATTTTTCTCTAAATTTATTTTCAACAACACATCTAATAAAATAATTTTACAGATTTTTATTAGAGACTCGTCTTTAAATGATACATTGACCAGAGGCTTTTTAACTCAATGTTCATAAATTCAATGGACATTCATTACGCTAAAAAGCCAAAAAAAAGGGGCAGCAGCTTGAAAATTTTAGAGGATGATCAATGAAACGGACCCATTAGTAAAAGATAGATATACGGAGGGAAGGGCCACAAAGGATAAAGTAGGGATAGACTTAGAGAGAGAGAAAGAAGAGTGAATAAAGCATTTTACGTTACTCCTTTGTGCTATAGTTCCACTCATTCCTCTTGTAGCCTTTAACGAGCAGGGTCGAGCCAGCTTGCAAACTGAAGATTACGGCTCGGGTTCGGCGGGACAAAAAATTGCACGAGATTTTTTTGTCCTAGCCGAATCGAGCCAAATCTCGGTCAAGAAACAAAGGCTTGGTTCGAGCTTTAGGCTCGGGCATTATCAAGTTGGCTTGATTTTTTTTTAATTAAAATTGGACGAGCGATAGGTCGCCTAAAGCAGGTTGTTTCAGGCAGAGCCAACGAGTCGAATTGACATCCTTATATGTGTTTGATTTTAAGAATGGAACTTGAATGAAAATAAAATAATTAGAATTTATTTGCACGAAAATTGTCAATTAAGCCCATGTTTGACAACCATCCTTTAAAAAAAAAAAAAATTCACATACTCATTTTCAAACACACTTTCTCACAATAAATATTCTTCACATAAATCAATTTTTTTCTTATTTTTTAACAACGCATTCTCCAAAAATTTAGTCTGTAAAACAGGGGCTAAATGTGTTTTATTGGTTTAATTTTCAATTTTAAAAAAATGTTTTATTATTTCCATAGAGTTGAGTTTTAAGGAAGTGTGAATTATCTAGAAAATAAAAACCTAACTCCATAAAAAAAAAATCATTGTTTTTGAGAAAAATATGATTACGTGATCAAATTTTGAAAAAAAATATTTTTTCATGGAAAAAATATCAATAAAACACCCCAAACATAGGAACTTAGATGGATAAAATGATATTTTTCATGAAAATAAAGTCAATCAAACACATTCTAAGTGCATTAAGTTTACGAAGGTCTAATAATGTTTTAAAAGTCAAAAGTTTTTTTGAAATACTGTTGGAGTGTCCTTTTTTTGTTAAGAGGCTGTTCAAGAAAGAAAAATGATGAAAGTACAAGAAATTTATACAGAAATTTAATAGAAATTTGAATTCTCAGTCACATGGTACGGGCCCCATGTATTAAATATTGGAAAAAAAATGTTGCTCCCGCCTTTGACTGTGTCTATTCTGTTCAAGAAAACATCAACCCTCAAAGACATGAAGAGCAATTGAGCAAACAAGGGCGACCTTTAATATAGAAGTTGTGGGTGCGTCTACCTTAACCTAATTGGGAAGTCAGGTCACCGTGCCTTCGATTTATCAAATGTTGTGGGTGCGTCTATGTAAACCCAAATTGGGAAGTCAGGAGACTGTACCTTCGAATTGTCAAATTTATTTGGCATCGCGCCACCAAAATGTATATCTTAATTGCTTATATTATCTCTCAATCATGCTATAAGTACAAAATTTTTTAATAGAAAATTTTGACATATAACACTTGAAGTTGCACCATTGGAACATAGAAGAAAAAAAGGCCAATCAAGTTCTGCCACCCCAATTCCGGTATCAATTCTGTTAAAATTTCCCCGTAGTTGGAGCTTTATTGATTATCTCTTCTTGACTTATTTTATAGCTTCATATTTTTATCAAAGTTATCTCACAATAAATATTCTTCACATAAATCAATTTTTTCTTATTTTTTAACAACGCATTCTCCAAAAATTTACTACTAAAAAACTTATTATTTCCACAAAAAAAAAGTCTGTAAAACAGGGGCTAATTGTGTTTTATTAATTTAATTTTCAATTTTAAAAAAATGTTTTATTATTTCCATAGAGTTGAGTTTTAAGGAAGTGTGAATTATCTAGAAAATAAAAACCTAACTCCATAAAAAAAAAAAATCATTGTTTTTGAGAAAAATATGATTACGTGATCAAATTTTGAAAAATTATTTTTTCATGGAAAAAATATCAATAAAACACCCCAAACGTAGGAACTTAGATGGATAAAATGATATTTTTCATGAAAATAAAATCAATCAAACACACTCTAAGTGCATTAAGTTTACGAAGATCTAATAATGTTTTAAAAGTCAAAAGTTTTTTTGAAATACTGTTGGAGTGTCCTTTTTTTGTTAAGAGGCTGTTCAAGAAAGAAAAATGATGAAAGTACAGGAAATTTATACAGAAATTGAATAGAAATTTGAATTCTCAGTCACATGGTACGGGCCCCATGTATTAAATATTGGAAAAAAAATGTTGCTCCCGCCTTTGGCTGTGTCTATTTTGTTCAAGAAAACATCGACCCTCAAAGACATGAAGAGCAATTGAGCAAACAAGGGCGACCTTTAATATAGAAGTTGTGGGTGCGTCTACCTTAACCTAATTGGGAAGTCAGGTCACTGTGCCTTCGATTTATCAAATGTTGTGGGTGCGTCTATGTAAACCCAAATTGGGAAGTCAGGACACTGTACCTTCGAATTGTCAAATTTATTTGGCATCGCGCCACCAAAATGTATATCCTAATTGCTTATATTATCTCTCAATCATGCTATAAGTACAAAATTTTTTAACAGAAAATTTTGACATATAACACTTGACGTTGCACCATTGGAAGATAGAAGAAAAAAAGGCCAATCAAGTTCTGCCACCCCAATTCCGGTATCAATTCTGTTAAAATTTCCCCGCAGTTGGAGCTTTATTGATTATCTCTTCTTGACTTATTTGATAGCTTCATATTTTTATCAAAGTTTTCAAATTCAATTCATCCTATCTAATAATCTCATATAGAAGTAAGGGTAATGACTGATAAGAGTATTTTACAAGCTTATTTAGATCTCAAAACAATGTCTAATTAAATTTGAGAAATTTCTACTGGCTAATACCCAATTTGAAGATAAATTGAACAAAATGAATTTGAAGCTAAATTGGAGCTTAAAGGTGGAATTGAGGAGTTACCAGGAAGTTGGGAACTTGAATGGAAGCTTTGAAAGTGGAATTGGATGAATTCACAAGTTTTGGGTGCCAAATTCTACTTTTGGAGAAGTTTGGCAACCAACTTGAACATTCTCAACACTTTAGAGGATCAAATTTGAAGAAAATAGAAGTTGAAGGACTAAAAGTGTATGGAAACATGAGCTGATGGACCAAACCCATTTTGAAACAACGAAGGTGAGACTAAGCCTATGTTTGCCCCCATTTTTTCAAAAGCTCATTTTTTTCAAAACTCATTTTCAATTACATATTCTTCTATAAAATAATTTTACACGTAAATCAGAAAAAAATTCTTATTTATTAACCACACATCCTCCCAAAAAAAAAAAAAAAAAAAAAATTCAAAAATGCATTTTCGCCCAAAATGGGACTCAAACAAGGCAAATTTGAGACCAATTTGGGCATGATCGAAAGTTGAGGGCTTAAGTTAACAAAATCAAAAGTGAGGGACTTACATGGAAGAAATTGTATAGTGGGGGCTTGGTGTTTAAATAAGAAGAAAGTAAGTATTATAGAGAGGCACTATATTCAAGACTAGTGAGCATTAAGGAAAGGTAGCTGAATTTCGAATAACAATTTCCCAAAAACTCAACTTTTAATTTGCAGAAAAAGGTCAATGGTGATAAAAGAGAGTTGTTACATGGACATGATACACAGATTTAAGTGTAAAACAAACGACATTAATTGAGAACTTCATAAACATAATAGTACAGAACACATTGCATAGTTTTCATACTCTAGGAAAATAAGAAAGATTCTCAAATGACGAGAACTGGCCATTACGGGTGAAAGAATGAATCACGGGGATATGTTCCACCGTTGCACGACCTGCACCACCCTTTCTAAATGCAGCTATAAATTCCTGGTTCATATCACACAGTGTTAGCTCTTCAACTTTGGCAAGTTCACTGATGCCCAATGGAGGCATTTTCAGATTCTGACATCTACTGAGTGATATTTGTTGAAGTTCAGGCATAGCATTTTTCTCAATCACAATGTTGTGTAGTTCTGAAAGTTCTTCGATAACCAATTTCTTTAGTTTCTGGAAGCTCGAATGTTCAAATACCAACTCCTCGCCCACATAACAATCGACCAGGTGAAGCTCCATGAGGTTAGGCAGATCTAGAAGAGAATTCAGTGGACTGTAGCGCAACTTGGACCACTTCAGAACAATTTTGAACAGATTACTAAGTGAGGAGATCCATTTTGGGAATTCTTCGAGGCGCCCTTTCAAGTATAGCCGCTGAAGAGAGACAGGAGGATTGACCAATTCACCCAGTTGAAGATAATCTTTCTTAGTGGTTGTAGATAGATCCAAACAGTTCAGATTCTCCATCTTTTCGATGGATTCACACAAGTCTCTGCTAAATTCTTCTGGGATCTGAGTAAGTCCCAGCTTCCTGAGTTGGCTCAAATGTTTTAAATCCTGTATGATCCTACCACTTTTGCCAACCTTCACAAGAGACAATGTCTGTAGACTAGTTAAGTTTCCAATCCCTTCAAATACCTTAACTCCTCGCATAGAGTCGAAATCCGTAAAATTCTTCACAGTTTTTTGGCTAGCAAAGAGATGCCGGAGATTCTTCAGTACACGGATTTTTTTTGGAAGCTTGACCACGTTAGTCCTCTTAAGATCCAATGTTTCAAGGTAATAAAGCTTCTTTATGGACTTGGGAATCACCATTATTTCAGTATCCCTTAAATTAAGATACTTTAGGAGGCCGAGATGAACAAATTTTTTTGGAAATTCTGTCAGAGTTGAACCTTGCATGTCCGAGATTCTTAGCAATCTCGGGTCCTGAAATTTGTTTTCAATAGCAGAGGGAGAACTATTGTCATAGCTGAAGAGGAACATGGAACGAACTTTCTGAATGTTCATTGACGAAAAAGTGCAAGCACTCTGAACGGATAGGCGACGCACTTTCTGGTTTGGACTGTTTTGCTTTGAGAAAACTGATGCAAAATTCTCGTCCTTGCATTTCTGAACAATAAATTTAAGCACCAGATTGAGAACTCGACAGTTTTTGGGTCGACCATCAAAATTCCTTCTGGAAACATGAACCAAATTCCTCATAATCAGTTGGTTGAGATAGTCCTCGGCTACCTCTTCAGCAGTTTTCCCATCTGTTTCAATCGCAAATCTTTCTGCTACCCACAAGCGTATGAGCCTTCCACAATCAACGGAGTAATCTTCGGGGAAAATGCTAAAGTACAAGAAACAACTCTTAAGATTACTTGAGAGATCCTTGTAGCCAGATAACAGCATACTCCCAATACCTGACAGATAGGAATTACTTCCAATTTCATATCCAAGGCTGTCGTGAAATTTCTCCCACACATCTGGATAGTTGGGTTTCTGTGATAGCACACCACCTACCGCCAAAATAGCAAGGGGCAGTCCTTCACATCTTTTCACGATTTTGTTAGAACAATCCTTCAACTCTGAAGGACATTCCCCATTGCTATCGTGGAAGGCCTTTTTACAGAAGAGCGTCCAAGCATCTAGCCATTCTAAACCATTCAGGTTATGTATAAATCGGTTTGAGGATGCAAACGAAGACGCCACATCATGAGCCCTGGTGGTAACAATTATTCTGCTACCGTAGACATCATTTGGAAATGCATTCATAATGCCCTCGTAGTGTTCAACTCTCCAAATATCATCTAGGACAACAACGTACCTCTTTTCCACCAGGTAATTTCTTACATTTGTCATAATATCTCCAGCTTCACGGTGATATGATTCCTTTCTAGATGTACGAAATTGATCTAGCATACCGCTTAAGAGTTCCTTGACATCGAAGTACGGAGACACATGAACCCAAGCATGGCAATCAAATTGTCCAAAAAATTTTCTTTCCCAGAACACATTCTTTACAAATGTTGACTTCCCCGAACCAGCAGGGCCGACCACAGCTATTCTGACTAGTCCCTTTTCTCCCACTGCAGCTGGGCTATGGCCTCCATCTATCAATTGACGAATAAATTCTTCCTTGTGTTTTTTATACCCAACCAGTTCATCGTCAAGGAGAAGACGACTCACTTGAACTCGAGCAGTGCTTGTGCCAGAACTCCTTGCATCTCTTGGAGGCTGGGATCTAGCGGGAGGAAAGATTCTCATTTGTGTGCCTATAAGTTCGATCTTCCTGTCGAGGCTTGTGATCTTTTTGGAGATCCCTCGAAGAGGATAGCCATGCTTCATATTATGGCCCACCTCGAAGGATTTCCGAATGATTTTATTGCTGCGAAATTCATGCATACTGTGTAGGGAAATCTCGTCAAGAACATCCTCTATCTCATAAGCAATGTCTCGAACTTGTTCGACTTGATCTTTCCTCAACCTAGTGCTGTGCTCGATAAGGTCTTCATTATCCTCTATGAAGGCCTTCATACTCTTCAGCAAACGTATGATATTCTCAATTTTATTGTTGATATCATCTTCATCATCATCATTTTTCTTGCGATTCAGTTGTAGGCTGATGGCGGGGAGCGCCACCTGAAGTGAAACCAATGCTGCAGAAAGAGCAACTTCTGCCATTATTGTTGCTTCTTCTTTGTCAGAGCGGAGGATCCTATGTGCACCACCGCGATATTGAGATAGGAAAGAAAAAAGCAAGAGAAATTACTGAAACTCTTGCTCTAAAAAAAAGAAGGAACTGTATTCAATAATTTATTTTATTGCAATGATCACTCTAATGGGGTATCATTTTTATTTATACCGCATCAGATGCTTGAGGTGATGTCATTACTCCGTGTTCAAACACGTCGCTTTGTGGAATTTGAGACACGTGAAGATACCAAATGAGTTGAACAAGCAACAAGTTGTAAACATATACTTGAATATGTCAAGATTCCAATGCACAGTACACAGCAAAGACTTGGTCATTGATCCTTGCAAACTATTGAAAAAAATAAAAAATACCCATGTTCTTATGCCTTTTTTCCATTGCTGAATGCTGATAAATAAAAAGAAAAATAAAGCATTAATTACTTTCTAATTTATTTCCCTTACTGTTGGATAAAAAGAACTCCAAACTCCTATGATATTCAATTTTCTTTTTTCTCATACAAATTTGTTCAACGCTAGATAGTATTATAAAATATGCCATCTGACATAGTTCAACACCAAACATTGAGAAAAATCCAACTGTAAGCCAGACAAAATCCTCCTTTACCATGAAGCTCACCAACATGTTGTTTCTACTAGGTAGTTTCTTAAAAAGTTGAGTAATGGATTTTCTTGGAATTGAACAAACTTTGACCCCAAGTGTATCCCGTGGAGATTTGATGGAAATGATCTCCTACTATCTTGCCCACCGTTGATGTAGCGTCCACATCAGCGACTAAACCTACAATTTTTGACAATTCAACATTGGTAGGATATCATTTTTGTCTAAAACTAGTTCAACAATATATGATGCTTCAATTTTTGTGTTCAGTTTTCGAGTTTTACTTGAAAGGCATGTTTAGATTTTAAATCAACAGTAGATTTTCAGAAGTATTAGAAACTGATGCACTTGGATGGAATATGAAAAGTTTATCATGCGAAAAGTTCAACGGAATTGATACCAGAATTGGCGTGGCCAAACTTGATTGGCCTTTTTTTTTTCCATCTTCCAATGGTGCAACGACAAGTGTTGTCTGTCAAAATTTTATGTTATTATTATTTTATTTTTTTTACTTATAGCACGATTGAGAGATAATATAAGCAATTAGGATATACATTTTGGTGGCGCGACGCCAAATAAATTTGACAATTCGAAAGCACAATGTCCTGACTTCCCAATTTTGGGTTAAGGTAGACGCACCGACAACTTTTGATAATTCGAAGGCATAGTGACCTGACTTCCCAATTTAGGTTAAGGTAGACGCACCCACAACTTATATATTAAAGGTCGTCCTTGTTTGCTCAATCGCTCTTCATGTTTTTGAGGGTCGATGTTTTCTTGAACAGTCTCTGAACAAAAAATGGACACTCCAACGGTATTTCAAAAAAAAAAAAAACTTTTGACTTTTAAAACATTATGAGATCATCATAAACTTAATGCACTTAGGGTATGTTTGATTGACTTTATTTTCATGAAGAATATCATTTTCTCCGTCTAAGTTCCTATGTTTGGGGTGTTTTATTGATATTTTTTCCATGAAAAATATTTTTTTAAAAAAATTTGGTCGTGTAATCATATATTTCTCAAAAACAAGGATTTTTTTTATGAGGTAAGGTTTTTACTTTTTAGATAATTCACTTCCTTAAAACTCAACTCTATGGAAATAATACAACATTTTTTAAAATTGAAAATTAAACCAATGAAACACATTTAGCCCGTTTTACAGATTTTTTTTTGGCAATAATAAGTTTTTTAGTAGTAACTTTTTGGAGAATGTGTTGTTAAAAAGTAAGAAAAAATGGGTTTATGTGAAAAATATTTTATTGTGAGAAAGTGTGGTTGAAAATGAGTATGTGAAATATATTTTTTTTTTTTTAAAGAATGATTGTCAAACATGGGTTTAATTAAAAATTTCCACGCAAATAAGTTCTAGCCCATGTTTGATACACATTCTTAAAAAAATTTATTCTTTCAAAACTCATTTTCAACCACACATTCTTCAATAAAATAATATTACACGCAAATTCAAAACTTTTTATTATTTTTTAACCGCATATTTTCCATCACATCACATCATATCATAAATTGCATTTTCTTCTCCATAATGTGCATCAAACATCCCATAATTATTTTATTTCCATACAAATTTCATGCTTACAATCAAACAAATGTAGGGACCGACTTGTTTTATATATATATATATATATATATAAAATCGAGCCAGCTTGGTAAGGTCGAGCCTAAAGCTCGAACCAAGCCTCAGTTTCTCGATCGAGATTTGGCTTGATTCGGTTAGGACAAAAAAAGCTCGTACAATTTTTTACCCCGCCACACGGGAGCCGTAATCTTCGGTTCGCAAGCTGGCTCTACCTTGCTCATTAAAGGCTACAAGAGAAATGAGTGGAACTACAGTACAAAGGAGTAACGTATAATATTGTTTTATTCACACTTCATTCTCTATCTAAATATATCCTTGTCTTAATCATTCGTGTTAACTCTCGTGTGGCTCTTCCCTCCCTCCGTAAATCTATCTTTTATTAATGGGTCCGTTTCATTCATCCTCTAAAAATCTCTAGCCGCTGCCCATTTTTTTTGGCTTTTTAACCCACACTTGCTTTTAATGGGGTGTAGCGTAAGGAATGTCCATTAAATGGAGTTAAAAAGCCTCTGGTTAATCATTTAAAATCATGTTTCGTGATGGGGTTTGATAAGGTTCAATTGGCCAAAATGAATTTCTAAACTCACAGATTTATCGACCTTCCGTTCATAAAAAAAAAAAACAAAATTTTTGTTGTCAATTATGATTTTGTATGATCAAAATTTATATGATAAAATATCATATTTGTAGTATTTTTAAAAAGATAATGAATAGACTTTAATATATTTATATTAGTGGGACTTTTCAAAGTCTCTCCTCTTCCAATTTTACTCGCTATTTTGGCTGCTGATATACTGCCTGGGACTTTTCAAAGTCTACTCTCTTCCAATTTGTGGACATTTCAAAGTCTACTCTCTTCCAGTTCTTTTGTTATTTTTTTAAATACAATAGTTGATGAGCCGTGGCATTCTATTTCGTGGAAATTACATGATCGAATTCAACATTCTTCTGGATGATAAATCTTGTGGCTGTGGTCATATCACTTTTGCTCCAAACCACAAAATAGTTTGTTATTTTGCTTTGGAAATATTCTCCCAGTTGAAAATTACTTTGATTTAAATATGGTTGATGATGTGTACAATTTCTGTGTGACCCGACTAGGACTCCTACTCCTAGAAGGTCTCTATCTCAACTATACTCCAAAATTATAAGTGCAGTTGCAATTATAGTACAAGTCAGATACTCTTCTCAAGTAGAACTCTTACTGATAAGGAAATTCAACTAATTCAGTCATATTAGGAGTCCCCGGTCTCCTAAGAGGATTATACTACACATATAAGGACTACATTGTCCACTCCTAAGAGGATTATACTACCTACCCCTTTAAATATGGACCCTCAGCTCATTATTCAGGTATGCTTTACATTCAAATTATAGCCTTACGCTTATATTTTCCTTCTCGCTAACTTAAGCATCAGAGGGGCGACGAGGACACACCTCATTGCCTTTGTTTCAGGTACATGAAGATCTTGTTCGCGATCAATCTCAGTAATCGAGTTCGACAATCAACAAGTGACTAATTTTAACATCATCAGTTGATTATCTTAAATGTAATTCTTATAGACAAAATAACTAATTCACGTTTTTATTATTCAACCCCAATTTGGTAAAGATTTTTTGAGAAATAGATTTTATAAACTAATTCGGACATATAAGGACTACATTGTCCACTCCTAAGAGGATTATACTACCTTCCCCTTTAACTATGGACCCTCAGCTCATTATTCAGGTATGCTTTATATTCAAATTATAGCCTTACACTTATATTTTCCTTCTCACTAACTTAAGCATCGGAGGGGCGACGAGAACACACCTCGTTGCCTTTGTTTCAGGTACATGAAGATCTTGTTCGCGATCAATCTCAGTAATCGAGTTCGAGAATCAACAAGTGACTAATTTTAACATCATCAGTTGATTATCTTAAATGTAATTCTTATAGACAAAATAACTAATTCACGTTTTTATTATTCAACCCCAATTTGGTAAAGATTTTTTGAGAAATAGATTTTATAAATAAAAAAAAAATTTTAAATATGTGATTAAAAAGTAGGAAAAACTACGAATCTGTAAAATTATTTTATTAGAAAAATGTGTTGTTGAAAATAAATTTAGAGAAAAATGAGTTTTAACAGGTGAGGCCAAACATAACCTTAATAAAGCAATATATATTAAGAGCAAATATAAAGGACCAAAAGGGAAAAAAAAAAACGAAATTAAAATATAGAAAAATCAAAGAAATTTGCATCCTTTCCAAGCCCTCCAACTCTACTGTGCATTTGTTTGGGGAGAGATTTTTCAAGGGAAAAATAATTTTTTAAAGAATATATGATTAAAGAGTAAAAAAGAAAAAAAGATACTTTTTAAAATATGGATAGTTGTGCTTCGTTGGGAGAAATTTCTTCAAATGAAAATAACTTTTCTTAAAGAATATATGATTAGAAATTAGAAAAAAAAACTTACTGTTCATAAGAATATGTGATCTCTTATCTATGGTGTGTAATTTTCATGTCAGCAATCAAGTCTACAACTTTCGACAATTCAATGGTGTGTAATTTTCATGTCAGCAGTTAAGTTTACAATTTTCTACAATTCAACTTTGAATTGTCGAAAATTGTAGGCCACATCAGTAGAGGGCAAGATAACACCTATCAATCATGGGTAGCAGATCATTTCTGATCAATTTGATAGTATGCTTTTAAACTTTCAATGAATAGCTGAAATATTTAGGGCGTTCTTGGGAGTTTTGGGTATGGTCGCTATAGCATTTTTTTA